GTGAGTTTTCTCTCTACGAAATCCAAGCTGGCGCCATGAGCTCCCCAGTGGAAATGGCTTGCACTGCTGCCGCGGGGTTCCCTGTTGACCAGGATAGGTTCATTTGTATCTACCCTGCTTATTTAAACAACAAGACCATTGTGGAGGGGAGGTGTATGCCCATAAATAAGGCTGTTGAAAATCCTACAGCTACAGAGATTCAAGATGTAAGTTTAGCAGTTGGACTTAATGGATTTCTTGAAAAAAATAAAATGTACTCCAGAGAATGGAATCGTGATGTTAAATACCAAGGCAGAGTCTGGGTCCAGCTCAAACAGAAAGATGGCAGCCTCTGTCTTGTATAGTTTCCATCACATTAAGTCAGTAATGTTGTATGCAGCGGAAATGATACCTAAACTAAAAACAAGGACACAAAAAACAGGTGGTGGTGACCAAAGTCTTAAGCAAGGAGAGGGAAGTAAATAAGGAAAAGGGAAGAAGTGATCTGCTATAAGAATCAAGACACATGAATGAAGGTGTCCATTTACTATCAGAGAAATAAAAGAAGCTTTTTGTTTGCATCTTTAACTATGAACTTCTGTGCCTCCCAGCTTCATCATCCAAGTTGACAATGAAATAAATTAACATCAACATTTGCACCTAGCTTTTATGCAGTATAAAAGAAAACAACGGCCTTTCAATGTTTTGTGTGGATGAAAGAAGCATATTTTTAAGTGGACAATGGACTGCACCAGACATGACTTGAAATCCTGTATCGGTTTATCCTCTGTGGAAACCTATGTTTGAAATCAATTTAATAACATTTGAACTATATAATTTGTTTATCACTAAGGTTAATGCAAGAAAATTGAAACGGACTTTAAAATAAATAAAGTGTTCAAGAACAAGGACGTCAGTTTGAGAAATAATGTGCACCTGACCCAAGCCATGATATTTTCAATGACTTCATATGCGTGTGAATGTTGCACAATGAAGAAAGAAGGCTACAAAACAATTTATGAATTTTAATGACTATGTTAGTGAAAAACACTGAAAGTACTCTGGACTGTCAGAAGAACAAACTATGATGGAAGAAGTACAGCCAGAAGGCTCCTTAGAAGCCAAAATTGCAAGACTTCATCTCTCGTACTTCAGATATATTATCAGGAAGGAGCAGTCCCTGGAGAAGGACATCATACTTAGTAATGTGGAGAGTCAGAAAAAAGATGAAGACCCTTAACAAGATGGACTGACGTAGTGGCAGCAACAGTGGGCTGAAACGTAACAATTATGAGGTTAGGCAGGACCAGGCAGTGTTTCATTCTGTTATGCATAGGGTTGCTGAGTCAGCACCTGTCGGCACCTAACATGTGTCGGAATTAACTTAGTGACAATGGGCTTTCTAGCACCCTATGGAGTCCTGGTGTGGCACTGTGGGTTGATGCACTAAACTGCAAGTTCAGTTTAAACCACAAGGTCAATGGTTCAAGCTCACCAGGGGCTCCTTGGAAACCCTACATAGGGGTCACGATGAGTCGGAACCAACTTGAAAGCACTTAACAACAACAACAATAGTGGAATAATCCTACTATGAAAATATGGGGTTTCCATGAGTCGGAATCAATCCCACAGCAACCAATATTTCCCTCTGCCTGTAAAGATTTACAGCCTCGGAAACCCTGTACAGGGTCACCATGAGTCGGAACAGACTCCACGGCACATAACAACAACAACCACCACCAGTGGCTTAAATCCTATGTATTCTTGGGATGAGCTCACAACGCTCCTCCTCTTAAAGACATTTTAAGTTTGAAATTTCTTCCCAGTACTACAAGCTGTTCCACGCGAGAAAGAGGAGGCTTTCTGCTCCCGTAAAGATTTACAGCCTCAGAAATCCTGAATAGGGTCACTATGAGTAGGAACCGACTCCACGACACACAACAACAACAACCACCACCAGTGGCTTAAATCCTATGTATTCTTGGGATGAGCTCACAATGCTCCTCCTCTCTAGACATCTCTCCCCTTGACCCCTCTGCATTTCTCCATGCCTCCCATGCCCTTTAAAGAAACCATGGTGGTACAGTGGTTATGGGCTCGGCTAATCACCAATAGCTTGGCAATTGGATTACAGGCTCAGCAACTCAAGGGGGCAGTTCTACTGTGTCCTACAGGGTCACTGAGTTGGAGGTGACTAGACGGCAGTGGGCTTTAGGGGTTATTTATAACATCCACCTTGTAGTCATGTATGTAGCACTCATGCCTGTGTCACTGAGCTGTAAGCTTCCTGAGGTTTGGTTTCACCTCTGTGGATTCCATGGCGCTTTACACTTCTTGGGAGTCATACAAAAAACTGCCCAATCAATGGGTACAAAGTTTTAAAACTTTACATCCTTGATTGAAAACTGCACTTAGATTCTTGAAATCAATGTTAAAAGTGCTTTAATGAATCCAGAGATAATTACTTTTCAATTATTCTATCCATTTTTAAATGATCATTCGAAATAGTTAGCCTGAAATTTCTCTCCCAACTATGTCATCGGTTTTGCATTACTGCTTATAATATACAAGCACATAGAAATTCCTATATAATAGTTTTCTAAATTGGAAATCTAACTCTACTTTTATTAATGTTTGAAAGAACCTAAAAGAGTAAAAAGTTCGGGTATACCTTCAAACCCCTGTTTTTAATGACCTAGCATTATATTAGGAAAAAAGGAAAAGAAAATACAGATTTAAGGCCAAATATGTCCCATATCCTCTAGAAGCAAAAATTAGTTTAACATCGGTACTCAGCAAGATATCTAAGCACAAACATCAATTAGTCCAAAAAAATAAATACTTATTTAAAGAGTATTAATAGAGGAGCACAGTCATGATATTTATAAGAAGAAATTTTATAATAGCATTAATATTTTCTAGAAATGAAATACATTTTATGTATTTAAGCAGAATGTACCTGGTAAGCTACTGCAGATAGGTACCCAGTTACAATCGAAGCCCTGCTTATACCATTAATGACATATGGTTTTAAGGAAGGCTGTTACTATTAATTAAAAAGAAGTACAAAATGATAAAAACAATTATTTTTGAGGCCTTAGTATCCTAAGCCGAGTCCTCGTGTGGCGCCATAGGATAAGCATTGGACGACTAACCTCAAGGTCAGCAGTTCAAACCAACCAGCCACTCCTTGGAAACTGTATGTAGGGTTACTATGAAAATCTATGAGTCAATGGAACTTCACAACAACAAATATTCTAAGCACAATTTTAAGCACTTTGCATGTATTAGCTCACTGAAGCTTCATAGCAACACTTTTAAATAGATTTGAATATTAGTTCCATTTTGTATATGAAGCAACCAAAGCACAGAGAAGTTTTATAACTTGGCCCACATCATTCAGTTAATAGCAGAGTCAGGATTCAAATCCAGCAGGCCACAGAGTCCAACATTGAGCAGTGTGGACAGCTGCCCTATGAAACTGTCAGAATAATTCACAAAACACATGAGGAGACTCTGAGCAGGACTTTCTGGGAGAACTGTGCTTTTTACCATCTGAAACTTTCAATGCAAGAGTTCAGTAACTTACCAAATGCCACAGTCCAACAGTCTCTCTTGTTTTCACCTTGTACAGGTTCCATATTAGCAACAGGATCCTCTTTCTGCCGTGGGTCCCACACCTTGACAGTTCCTGTTACAAACAAAAGTGACTGGCAGACTTCAGTAGTGAAGCGCTACATTCCTATGGTTTCCTGTGCTCGTGGCAATAGTACAAATGCTATGACATCTAAAAAATATCCAGTCTTCTGACTTCTAGGTGGGTAATTGTACTTAATATCAGTGAAATAACCCAAGTTACTATCTGACTTTCCACATTAATAACTGCCTAGAAAAGCCAGTATTCTGCTCCTAACCCTTCCATTTAGGAGCTCTGGTAGTGTAGTGGTTACGAGTCGAGCTGCTAACTTCAAGGTCAGCACTTCGAAACTACCAGCGGTTCCATGGGAGAAAGATGAGGCTTATCTGCTCCCGTAAAGATTTACAGCCCTGGAAGCCCTATACAGGGTCGTTATGAGTCGAAACCGAGTCCACAGCACACCACTACCACCAAGTTCTCCACAAGGATGGTTGACAAGGCAAGCGCAAATATTGTACAATTCAAATCATGCCTTACTTTGAGTCTAAAATGAATTAATTTCTTGGTTTTATTTAGATTAATACCAATGTCATTTAAATGCTCCCTTATTATTTATATAGTTATTGGTATTATTTTTTACAGATGAGTAAACTCTAGTTTTTATATGCATGGTTTCTTATACAAAGTTTTAGAATACTATTTCAAATGCATAATAAAATTTAATTTCCCCATGGCAATAGAGAAGAGGGAACTATTAAATAAAATGAACAAATGATTTTTTCTCAATTTAATTTCAACCCCCTCATTTTAATTCACATTACCAGACTACTTACTAAATGGCATCATGATTAAGGAGAAATACAAAGAGTTGCAACAAAAAACAGCTAAACGGCAAATGCCTAAGAGAGAATACGGAAATAAAAGTCCCTAAAAAGGAAAATAAGCTCAAGTAAAGGAAGGTGTTCCACTAGATTTACCTCTAGAAATAAAATTAACTTGGTAATTTAAAAAGCTGCTTTTAGGGTTCATATAAATTAAGAAAAATATTTTATTTGTAATAGCTAAATGAGCCAAGAATATAAGCAAAGAATGCGCACACACACAGAAATTAACTAGTAAACAAACACAGAAAGACATTAACACAAGTTGAAATAGAGTACTGTTTTTATCTATAAAATGAAGGAAACAAAACACCAAATAAACCAATGCTGGTAGGGTAGACTGGAAATGGTATTCTCATCCATTGTAGCTGACAATGTAAATAGCTACTTGGAAAGATGTGACAATACATTTTATAAAGTATAAAATACGTTTATTCTAAAAGAGTTACATGTATGATGATAATCATTTTTTAATTATTTTTAAATCATCTTGCCAAAAATACTTATAGCAAGATTGGCAGTTCAAGCCCACCAGAGGGAGAAAGATGAGGCTTTCTGCTCCCGCAAAAGATTTAAAAGCCTCAGAAACCCCTATACAGGGTTGCTATGAGTTAACATCAACTCGACACTTAACAATACAACATACTATGATAGTCACATGATAGAATATTAGTTATTAAAATCCTAATTATAAAAACCATATGAAAAGAACAATATTTGCATATGACATTAAATAAAAAATGAAAGATACAAAATGGCATTCATACTATGCAAACTTATCTATAAGACTGGAAGAGAAAATTGAATTATAATGGTTGCACTTGTGTGGCAGAGATTGAATTTTTTCCCTTGTATATTCCATATTGCTCTAAAATGGGTTTCTAAAACACAGCCACTCCTAACTTTCATATAATTATACCTCATTTTTCTTTCGAAACAATCTCATGATTTTGTGCAACTATTTAAAAACCAGCCCAATCAATTATTAGATTTCTCACCCACACTCTCCACCCCTAGAGGCAACACAAGATTGTGACTTCGTGACAATTGCTCAGAATAGCTGGACACCAAAAAACCTCTCCCTTGGATGCCACCAGGTGGGCAAGCACAGTTGGTCCCTTGGAGCTTTCCACAAAACTCAGCGAATGGCACAGAGAACGTCAGTGTTCAACTGGCTGTCAATCTGACAATTTTCACAAGTACTAATTCTACTTTAAAAAAAAAAACAATGAAATGAAAAGCTGCCTCCCACATTATATCATCAGCTGCCTCAGAAACCTGTAAAGAAATGTTAAATTCTTCAAGATTCAAAGAAAACGAATATTCAACTAGCTCAAAATGAAAACAGTAAGTTCCATGCCTCTACCTCAAAACACCCAGAAGTCTGAAACAACGGAAGGATATGCAGTCAAACTTGCCTATTAAAAGTGAGAGCAATCAAAGATGAAACATGCATTAAGCTAAATAAAAGCACCCATGGGTACTTTCATTATAGAAAAAAAAAGAGAGAGACCAAATGGTCAACATTTACCATAAGCAAAGAAGGGAAAGTTCTGCAGGATGAGAAGGGGGTGGAGGGGAGGGAAGGGGAGGGGCGAGGGAAGCTAGATTCATGGAAACTGAAGAACCAGATGGCAAATAATGAGAATACTAACACAATGAAGAAAATGTAACCAGTGTCAGTGACCAATCTGTATAGAAATTGGAAAATAAAAATCTTAACTGCCATATAAACTTTCATCCAAAACAAAAGATTTTAAAAAAGAAGGAAAAAAAACAAACAGTGGGAGCAAAAAAAGTTAAGGTTTGGGATCAATGCAACTGAGGAAGATTTTCAAATGGAGAGGATATACCATTACAGAGAAGCTTTCCATAAAAAATGTTTTTAAATACACAGAATACTTTGACTTACCATCTCGGCTGCCAGTCACAATTTCAGGTGCTCCTTCTCCAATTCCTAGTCCACCAACACCATCTATAGTATTTATAATTTCTTTATGGCCTTTCACAGAATATACTGGGCTCTCCGGAGCTTCCAAATTCCTAAGTAGAAGAAAAGAGCTTCTTTCTTACATCACATGCCCTAACATTTAAATCCACTACTAAAATTTAAGAATTGTTGTCATTGCTAGTGCCTTGCAGTTGGTTCTGACTTATAGCAGTATTTCATAAGGCTTCTGAGGCTGTGCTTCTTTATGGAAGCAAAAAGTTTCATCTTTTTCCCTGAGCAGAAGTTGGTGGGCTCAAAATGCCAACTTTATGGTTCATAGTCCAGGGTTTATTGTATAGAGCCACTGTGCTCCCCAAAATTTAAGAATAAACACTAGTCAGCATCTATGGCTTCACGCCCCAAATCTGCTGACACACTGGCACAGTATCGTCTGATGGCCACTGACTACATTAAAGTTATTTCAAAAGTTTCCATAATAGGCCTTGAGATCTTGATCTTAAAACTGTTGTGAATGATAAAACGAGTAGTGTTTACTTTGCATGTATGTCCTCCTTTACAATGGTATCATTTTCTCACTGTATGTCACATGGATTTCTATCTTGTTACATATTTTTCTGTACATCACAATGGTCACAATAAATATTATAACGAAAACTGCCTGCGGTTTGTTTAATTCCAAGTTAATTAAGAGAAAAGTATGCAGGAAAGCATCTATTACAATAAGCGTAACTCAACACTAGATACAAGGGAGCTTCAAAAAGTTTGTGGAACACATCCTGTTATCTTTTAATTCAATTTTTCGTCTGCTTTTTCTATTAGAACTTCTATCCACATTTCTCTTTACCAAGTCAGTTTTCAACAAGATACATTTTTTTAAAAGTGACTATTCATGAATGTAATCCCAATCTAGTAGTGGGTCAGGATTGATATGTAAAATTTCACTCTTCAAAACTTGAGGCACTTCAGCCTAGTTTAGATAATATTTATCTTTGTAAATCATTGTGAAAGAATCAAGAGACTAAGCAGGATTGTGGCTCTACTTAAAAGAATAAACTGCTTTACTATTTTTATGGGTTTTAAAATACTACTAAGTTTTTACATGAAATTATGTAAGACATATCTGTGAAAATAGGTCCAAGGAAACGCTACAGGATGAACGTTAACAGTTATATTCATTGAATATCCTTGTGCTGAAATAAGTTATATTTATTTTTACAAAATTCAGACTGGCCTTTCTCCCAATTTCTGTGAAAATATATGGCATAAGCATGTAAGAACTGATGAATTCTAATAGATAGTAATTTAAACTATTATTCAGTTACATCAAGAAGAAAGTTTCATTTTGTTTTGCATTATGATTTTAAGACAGATAAATATGCCAAGGTAATTTAATTTGAAAGTCGCAAAATTGAAGTGACAACCAAGAATGGTCGTATTAAAAACCATTTAACATAGGTAAGACAGTGTTTACTGTCTTACTAGAATAATATTGTTTACTTTAAATGAGTAATATTGAGGGTTATCCACAATACTAAGAGACAGTCTGGAAAATTATTAATCAGGAATCTTAATTTATTCAACTCTAATTTGAATATAAAGAAATAACTCTAGATAAAACATGAAAATTAAAATCATTTGGCACGATAGTGAATTTTCTTATTCAAAGCAGGCTTATTTTATTTTGCTCAGTAACTGTGTTCCTAAAAAGTTGTGCTTAGATAGTAAGCATTAAAAAAGCAAACAAGAAGCACACTGTAATAGGGAGATCCACATCCAAACACTAACTGAAAAAACTTATTTTTTGTTCTACTTTGTAATGTCAATCTCTTAACGAAATGTAAGCAAACATCTAACTTCTCAGTGTTATAAATGTGCATTTTTCATACATGTATCCTTAAAGGGGAAGGGTAAGAGACCTTTACTTTAGAGTGTTAACTGCTGGCACCAAACAGCATGTGTGAAAACACCGATAACATTATTTGATCTTAAGCAAAATATATTTGTGTTTTTAAATAAAATTTTAATATGAGGGGACATCAAATCATTTGTGGAAAAACAGAAAAGTTAATGAAAATTTTCCGTGAACTTTTTGAAGTCTCCCCTTACAAGACGTAGAAATATATTTTAAATTAATTTTCACATTTTCATAAAATGCTACAAATGAACAGGGAAACATTTTTTTTTTTAATTAGATTCTCCCTTTCAGAGGAAGAGTAGCAAACTATCAAAAATTTATCAAAAAAGTATCAAAACGATCTCATGGGTCTAAGTACTAACTAAATAATCTTACCATATATGAAGGTTTCCACCAAAGTCTCCAGTAGCTAAGTATCTCTGCTGTAAAGATGCTGCACCAAATGTTCCACATTTAATGGGTTTGGCCTTTTCAATCTTGATAGAAGGGTGAAGAGAGGATACATTATTTATGTAAGCAGCTATTTATATTAATAGTCCACAATATTAATGAGTCTGTTATAAGATTTAAATAAGACATGTAATATAAAAGGCAATTGATACTTTTCTGATATAAATATTTTTTCTCTAGTCATTTTTCTATAGTTTAAAGGTATACAGATACCAAAAAGAAAGTTTTAATTAGGTTTTAAAATTGTTTTGTTTTCTTTTTATTCTCATCTCCCTAATGATGATTTACAACTACGAAAATTTCAGCATTTAATATGGCATTCTTCCTGGATATCCTCAGTAGAAATAAAAACATAATGAAGATATTAATGTTTTCGGATAGCTATGGGAACGAAAATGCTGATGTACTTCCCTGCAGAGCATTAAAAATAAAGGATGTTTAGGTCTTATTTCCTCCAGAGATTTGTATGCCCCCATCATTCAGAGGGTATGCTATTAGGGCAAATTAGTCCTTATTTGAAGGTTTCTTTAATTTAAAAGTCTACTGCTCCACATATAGCACATACTGCATTTTTAGTATTTCCTTTTTTCATTGTTGGTTCCTTGTTTGTTTATTCTCTTTTATTTTCTTGTGTATGTGTGGTGGGTGGGAGGAGGCGCCCCGTCTTTCCTACCCAATAGGAGACTGTGTCCATATATCCTAACCATACAGTACTTTCTGCAACTCCACCACTGGGCAGAGTCAATACCAGCTCCTATATCACCTGATCATCGATAGGAAGCAGTCAACACCAGCCAAACCCACCCTGAACTGAGGTGTACAAATAATGAATAGAGAACGGTGCACATGCTTCCACTCTCTACCTCCACCCACAGGAGACAACATAAAACCATCAACTGAATACAAATATGAGAACACCACAATGTCCTAGAGACAACAGACAATTTTAGCTCACACCAAGAAACAAGAGTGAATGTCTCAAACAAACAACAAAGATGCAGAGTCAGAAAACATTTCTGAGGGAGAAAGGGTAATGGAACTAACTGAAAAAGAATTCAAAAGAAGGATAACTTTCAAAGAATTGACAGAAAGATAGGAAACCAAGGAGAACACAGAAAAAACTTTAGAAGAATTCGGGAAAACGCTACAAGAACAGGCCATCTGAGGTGCAGGTAGAAGAAAGAAGACTGACAAGAACTGAAGAGGCATGAAATTAACCAGTTCTGAGGACTAATGCAACAAGTGAATCTCAATCTCCACGACCCTGAGTCAGAAGAACTAGGTGGTGCCCGGCTACCATCACCAACTGCCCTGAAAGGGATCACATTAGAGAGATGGTTTCAGATAGAGTGGGAGAACATGTAGAATAAAACTCAAAATTATTTCATATTTAAAAAAACTACACAAAAAACAGGTTTACTGGTTAGATAGAGATAGGAAGAACCTGAGACTATGGCCCTCGACCACCCTTCAGATCTGGAAAGGAACTCACCCTTATGAACAAAGTTTCGGCCAAGCAGTAGATGAGTCTATTGTGGGGAAAACAACACAAGTAAAGTATATTTATGATGGAAAGGTCAATCATTCAAAATCAAATGAGCAACATTTCTTAAGGACAAAGTTGAGTAACTATACGAAGGCGGGGGGGATGGAAAGTGGAACCACAGAGAGGCAGTGGGATAACTGTGGATGCATGGAGGGGACTGCAATCATTGAGACGAAACAAAGCGTAGATCTGCTGAACATAAAACAGAAGATGTTATCTATAAACCTTTACACAATTCACAGAAAAAAGTTGGACTGCTAGCAAAAGGAGCATCTGGTAGAAAGAAAAAAAATCACATTGTGAGAAACAGATATTTGGCTTTTCTTTTTAATGTATAGGTGGTTTAAAGTAACATCAGTATTCACTGCAAACAGTTAAGCACTATTTGATTTTGAGGATGAACATTTTTTCTTTAAAACAAGAGACAATTAGAAACCACTTAATGATCTCCCTGCCTCTCCCTCCCAAATAAAAGCACTGGTGCCTGAAATATTACAGTAGTAGTGGTTTAGCACGTACCCACTAGTAGGACAGATTTTCTATGGTTAAATTAATTCAAAATTCCAATTTATTGAAGCTGATGTTATCACTCCTTCCTCCCATTTGTCCTACCGGGCCCAGGTCTTCCCCATAATCTGAGGTACAAGGTATAAACAGGCCTCTCTGGTAAGAAGCAGGTGGGCTCTTAAGGGCAGAAATGTGCCCTAGGAGAGTAGGGGGATCAGAAGCTCCAGGTGCCTTGCAGCATCTATCTGATAAACAGCCCTCTGTAAAACCCTTCTCAGAGAAGGACTGGCAAGACTGCTGGTGCATTCTGCTTCCCAAAACTCCACTTCTGTCACCTGAACCTTGTAATGAGACGTCCTCCCCAGAAGCCATGGCAGAGCTGAAAGCTAACCTCCACTATGTTGTTGCTGTTGTTAAGTGCCATCGAGTCGGTTCCGACCCATAGCGACTCTGAACACGGTTTCCGAGGTGTAAATCTTTATGGGAGCAGAAAGCCTCATCTTTCTCCCACGGAGCAGCTGGTAGTTTCAAACTGCTGACCCTACGGTTCACAGCCCAATTTGTAACCACTACACTACTATGTAATAAGCCCTAAAATAAGCACTCAACTCTTCTAAGATTTTCTAGAAGGCTTTACTGGAGGTTATAACAAACTGGAAGCAAAAACTCCCCTCCCTGTGATTCCTTCACCTTTGTTGTTGTTGTTAGGTGCCATCGAGTCGGTACCGACGCATAGCGACCTTATGCACAGCAGAACGAAACACTGCCCGATCCTGGGCCAACTGTTGGGACGTTTGAGTCCATCGATACTCCCACTTGGCCAATGCATCTCGCGGTCCCTTAGAGAGAGTCTGAAACTATGATGGCCCACACTTATCTTTTGGCACAAACAGAAAATTTGGGGGCAATTAGAAAATTCACGCCAAAAATTAGTCATTGTATGTTTTTCTTAAATTCATATTCTCTTCAATATACCTTTTTTGGGCTTGTCTTGAAAAAGAAAAACACTAGCAAATAAACACGAACAGAAAAGTCTAGAAAAAAAGAAGGATAATTTCTTGCGATGTAAAGATCAAAATACGCATAATGTAACTTGGACTCTTTGGCTAGAAAACCTCTTCCTTGTGCTGAGATGGTATCGACTACCCTAGTATTTCCTGGTGTTTCAAAACTAGCATCACGATGTCCAGATGCTCTCACCTCTGAAGGCTTGAGACACCCAATCTTAGAAGGTCAACGGAAAAACATGGAGAACCAGTCTACTCTCAGACCTTATACTAGATAATTTTGCAATTGCCACTGATTTTTATTACAAACATAAATAAGTGAAATGCATGTAAGAGGAGAGGCACTCCAGACTCACAGGAGGGGCACACAAAATGTGGCATACAAAATGCATAAAGCCTTTGAAATCTGGTCTTGCCTATCAGTCTGACCTCACCTCCAGCTACTTTCTAAGGTACGCCAACCACACAGGTTTACTTTTTGTTCTTCTGACAAATCAAGGTCATTTCCGCCTTGGCACACGTGCACTTGGCTTGACTATTTTCCCCAGAATCATACTGTCTTCCCTGTTCACTTTACTCAGACATCAGTTCAAATGGGACCCCTCTCAAGGGGGCTTCCTTGCCCCTCAGTCTCAAACAGAACACCCTACACTCTCACCCTCTGAGGTCTTCTGTATTGCACTTGTCAACAAAATTATCTCAATCATCCAATCAGCTATCTGCTTTTTTTAAGAATGTGAGTACCAGAGAGAACTGGGGCCTTGTCTAATATGTTCAACATGTACGGGGTGCTCAACAATTGTTGAGTAACAGTACAAATAAACATATAACAGTCAATGCCAAGGAGGAGAAACCACTGCTCGCGAGTTCACTTTCCCACTTTCCTTTTCTCATAGACCACTGCCATCCAGAACTCTGACAGACTAGGCAGTTCCCAATGATATTGACAAGCACGAAGAAAAACAGTGCTGGTGGTGGTTGTATGCCAACCATTAGGTTCCGACTCACAAGCTTTTCCTGTGGGGTGACTAGTAGATTTCAATTGCTGACCTTGAGGTTAGCAGCCCTGCTTGTAATCAACTATGCTACCAGGACTCCTATAATAAAAATAGCGCCCACATATTAAACAACTACAACCATATATTATTCAAGGTGTTCTTCTAGACAAGAACATCCCTTCTCTTCCTGTATAGTATTGGCAACAGCAACTTGAAACCAAAGAAACTGAGGCTCAGATGATGGTAACTTGTCCAAGGTCCCAAGAGCCAGGTAGATGCCAAGTTCTTTGCAGGATATTAAGCTACCTCTGGCTCCTATACATAAATCAGTGAAATAAACATTTTATATGTGGCTCCCATTCTACCAATCTGAGAGTCAGTCATAAACAGTACCAGAGAAATGTTCTAATCCTGAAGTGGACTGGTGAGGTCAATGGAAGAGACATGAACTACACCTACTTTCAGACTTCTATCCTTTGGTTTTTACCTTCATTCTTATCTTTACAAAATAGAATTTTATGTTGTCATTCTTCCCTCATCTTCTTTCTCTTTCTCTAAGTCAAAAGAACATTAAAAAGAAAGTCCTAGTGTGTCGCTGTAGGTTAATATACTAGACTGCAAAGTTGAATGAACTGCAAGGCTGGCAGTTCAAGTACATCAGCTGCTCCTCAGAAACCCTACACAGGGTCACTTTGGGTTGGAACCAATTTGATGGCATCTAACAGCTCAGGTAGCATAGTGGTTACGAATTGAGCTGGGAACCGCAAGGTCAGCAGTTCGAAACTACCAGCTGTTCTGCGGGAGAAAGATGAGGCTTTCTGCTATCGTAAACATTTACAGCCTCAGAAACCCTGTACAGGGTCGCTATGAGTCAGAACTGACTCCACAGCACATAACAACAACAACAATATAGGGGTCACTATGATGAGTAAGAATCAACTCAATGGCAGTGGGTGGGTGGTAGTGTAAGGGTCAAATTTGCAAGCATCAAATGAAACTCAAGATATAAAAACCTATTATAAATGTATAAACACCTTATAATCCCTAGGGCACAAGGACTGCACTGTCTGCTCAGCAGGGCTGAGCAATGCTGCCAAATGGACTTAGAAAGCAGGCTTGTCTTCTCTGTCCTCACTCCCAAGCATTAAAAAAAAGGAAACTGAAGGGAAGCTAATATTTTAAAGGTCATAAAAGATCTTCTCTTTGCCCCTTAAATATTATTTTACCTTTGAAAAGAAAAATATGAAAAGAATTTAGTGGTGACTTGGAATTTTTGCTAGAAAACTAGTTTTAAAAAAAAAAAATTGAAGGTCTATTGTGCAAATGTTGTTCTACAAAGAAAACTAGTAGATATTAATAACTTTTGCCATATCTGACACTGGAAATGACGATCAATGAAGACTGCATTGGGTTGTTGGTTTTCTTTGTAACAAGTGATAAATTAGCATTATTAAAGAAACCCATGATCAATAATTCCCGTGAGAGCTATTTCTGCTCTGTCTGTGGGTGGGTCTAGTACAGCCCGTCACTATTTCCTCCTCCACATCCTGGCACGACTTAATTAACAGTAAAAGGTTCAGTCAACCAAAGCTGACAAGCAGTGTATTCAGTGGTTCAGGGGCTATCAAAACAAAACTTTATTAGCTTACTACTAACTTTTATAGTAAAAACATCCACAGCCATGACTCTACCTCTCAGGGCCACACTAGGCCATATGGCATCCTTGCAGCAATTACAAAAAAGGAGTCCTTTATAGGCTTGGTGCTGTGGGTTAATGTGTTGGGCTACCAGGCCAGTTTGAACCATAAGGTTGGCGGTTCAAGCTCACCAGCTGCTCCTTAGAAACCCTATACAGGGTCGCTATGGGTTAGAACTGACTTGATGACACTTAACAACAACAAGGCTTGAAGGAGCAAGATAATTTTAACTCCCATTAGACCCTTGTTCAGATACCTTTGTGTGGTACAGCACACAGTTCAGCTGTCCATGGAGGGGCTTCCCTCCTTCCCTGTCTATCCTCTCACCAACAACCAGCATGCTACTTGGAGGCCAAGATAGCCAAACTTCGTCTCTCATACTTTGGACATATTGGCAGGAGAGACCCGTCGCTGGAGAAGAATATCATGTTTGGTAAGGTGGAGGGTCAGAGAAAAAGAGGAAAAGTTTCAGCGAGATGGATTGGCAAAGTGGCAGCATCAACGCACTCAAGCGTTGCAACAATAGTAAGGTTGGCTCAAGATTGCAGTGTTTCGTTCTGCTGTGCATAAGGTCACTATGATTCGGCACCGACTTGATGGCACCTAATAACAACAACAAAAACAAAGATCTATTTGCTTTCTTCACCCATTTTTATCTTGGATTCACATGACTTGAAGTGGTTCTACAATGACTAAATCAAGTATGTTTTCTAATGTGTCAATAATTCAGCTATAACCCAATTAAAAAGTGGGCACAGGATATGAACACATACTTCACTAAGGAAGAGACCCAGGCAGCCAACAAACATATGAAGAAATGCTCATGATCACTAACCGTTAGAGAGATGCAAATCAAAACAACAATGAGATATCATCTCACACCAACAATAACAGCAAAAATGAAAAATGTAGAAGACAATAAATGCTGGCGGGGATGTGGAGAGACTGGGACACTCCT